AGCTTTAATAGCACAACGTCGAAAGGACTTGCAATGGCATTGGCGTCGTAGAGCGGATGGAAACGTGCATAACGCACGAGACGCAACTTCTGAGAGACATCTTCTCTGACGAAATCGTGAGTACCGACAAGCACAAAGAGCTTTTCAGTCGTTACAGCTGTCAGCTCAATGAAACCTTCGGCAGGGTGCGGATTACATCCGAATAAATCAATTAGACAGTGCGCCGCAGTTAAGACGAGAGAACGGTTGATAAGTGTCCCTCCACAGTAGGGGACCTGCCCATATTTCGTAGACCATAATCCAACCTTGAAGGACGAAAAATAACATTAGTTTTTCCTGTCGATAAATATAGTGAATGGATTTTCTCAAAATCGATGTTCCCATAGCCGAGTTTTAAGAAAGGGAGTGCTTCTGTTTCAGCTATTAGCCAGGATTTCCCCAGCCTGCAGATTTAAGGAATAAGTTTAAAAAAGGGATTCGTTCTTAAATATTTAGGCTTATAAAAATTGTGCATCCTTGCTTCAAATTCAAACAAAGTGCGATATACTGACTTTGGATTTTACTGCCCTTGAGCTGATTAAATGACTTAAGTGAAAGCTGTATTACTTTCGCCTGTCCTGTTACCAACACTTGAATAAAATTTAAGGTGCGCAAAGGAAAATAGATTAGTTAATACATAAGGATATTGGTGCCTAAACGATTACTGATCGGGTACAGGACTCACTTGTCTCGTTCTATCGTGGGGCTAACTCTCGAACCCCACTAGCAACCGCAAAGTGGCTAGTAGAATAAACAGAACAACATTACCGACAGAGCTAGGAGACACCGAACTGGCTCATTAGCCGTAATCAAACAGCCCTACGCAACCTCACGTGTTGCGGTATCGGAGATCCAAATAAGTCACGTAACCGATCGATGGACGTCTGTGCATCAATTTAAATACCTCCCGATCGAAAGTCGGCAATACCACGAGCCATTGTCTCAATGGTTAGAGTGTGAGACTTCTAGGCAACAGGGTTCGAGTTCGAGCCTCGGGTGGCGCAAAAACTGAGGTTGGGTATGGCTAGCTGATGACGGCTAATAAGCCATGTATGGCAATTCCAAGATCCTTGGTCTGCGTCCGTAATGTTCTTATTATGTTTGATAACTTCTACGCATTCGGCAGGTCAACCAACCTCCGTGGGAATTCCCTCAAACTGCGGGAATCCGTATCCCATCTAGATATCCGCATTCATTCATTTTCACAGCGAGTCATCAGTGCCTGGAATGGACGGCCGGCGAACACGACAGATGCATTCAAACGCATCCTGGATGCATATTTACTTAGTATATACCGTTTATACGCGCAGGAAAGCATTGTCAGCAGACACGAACGCTTTGGTCACACATACAGATAACACAATTGTACATGCGTATGTGTTACTAACTATTTTATAGTAACATAATTTATGTTGGATATTTTATGTAAACTGTTTTCAATAGGGTCTTCAAAGGCATTGACTACTACCTTAAATATACTGAACTATGTTTCATAGTATCGAAATACCTGATGAGTATCACGGAGCGACTTACATGCCAAGGCCAACTATGGGGCGTTGCACGAGCTTTCATCTGTTCGGCTTCCTCCTTGACTTCTCTTTGGATGGCGGGAAGTCCACAGTCAGTCGGAAATCCAGGCTCAATTTCTAGAGCTTTCAAACGTCACGAGAATTAAAAAGTATGGTAGCTAACGTTTTAAAGAGCGATTTATGCTAACTAAGGGCTAAATGATGCATATTTAAAATGTATATTCAATTGCGCAAATAACTGCATATTTAGAATCTATTTTTATTGATGGATTGAGTGGATGCCGAAGTAGTTAGCATAACACTGCAAAGAAATCTAATAGTACATATAAACTGGAAAATTATTCGAACGGACTTTGACTCTTGTATGCCACTGATTCGTATAAAACTTCTTTTGTAGTTTTTTTGTGTGACATGCATGAACTCATGTCATGTCTCATATTCACTGTCCTAAAGGTATGGGCAGCTGTTGAAACCAGAAGGGACTGTAAACATCCTTCAATTTCTACGGACGGTCTTCAAAGATCACAGCAATTAAAACCAAAACAACTTTATTTGTTGACCATACTTTTATGGTCCTAAACGAGAGAACAATTTGACTGCCCATAGCAGATTCGAAAACTATTTAACAATTGAGCTCGAAATATGGGTATTTTATTGAAGTTTTAATATAAATCTTCAAAAACAGTTACTTTTCAGCTAAGCCAAGTAGCTAAAAGATAATGTTACATTTAATTTACTTTCGCTTTTCGTCATCATAGCGAAAGCTGTTTTGCATCTAAACGTACGTCCAAACTCGAAAATGGCTCAAAGGGAGTTTGAGTAGTGTGTCAGCCTTTTGTATAGAAGTACTTTTAAAGCTTTTTGTGAAAGGCATGCACTTGTGATATTCGTGTTTTATGAAGTCTCATATTCACCCCCCTAACCTTATGGGTAGGTATATGTCCCAGAAATGACTTTAAAGATATATCAGGACGCTTTTCTAAATCATAGTAATCTCAACCAATATAATATAATATTCTGATTATACTTGAACGAGATGGATATCTTGGTTGTCAATTACAAATTTGAAAACTACTTAAGGCTTGAGCTCGAAATTTGGGGTGTAAATTAGAGTTTGGAGATAGATCGTCAGAAAACGTTACTTTTCGGTTAAGGCAAGCAGTCCTATGATAATATGACATTTAATAACACTTTTTTTGGTTTTCGTTATTACATATTATACGTAAATGCTTTTATCAAATACGTGGGCCAGTGAAGACAAGAACATTTACTGCGCTTAAGTAAACATCAAAGTTCACATACCATTTATAGTGACTGCAAGCAGAACGCAGATTAACATTCGCACAAGCCCGTGTTTCATATCCAAGTGGCTGGAGCCCGATGCCCGTTCTGTGTCGCGAAGCCTGATATGTGCGCTTATAAAGCTCAGCATTCTCCCACCAACGACAA